TTTACTGTTGAGACGGTGTGCAACATGGTTATGGAAAGTCTACAGTCACTGCACCTCCCTGGTTTACGGCTAGTAGATGAATACCATAAGTCGTACCCGACATATGTGGATGAGGCACCTTACCCTACGGGGTACCATCGCCCCAAATTTCCTAAATTTGAGGGCAGAGATCCCCCCACCAGCACTTAGCCCATTTTTTATCCTATATGTAGATACGACCAATAATGAGTACCTGCTGATGAAGCAGTTCGTCCAATCATTATTTGAATCGGTGTTTTCTTGGTACTTAGGTTACCTGCCAGGAGGATATTCACATGGAGATAGACGCAGGAAACATTCCTAGCACGCTTCCACAGTACTGGAAGGGTTGTTTATTTACTTGAGCTTTTTATCATGAAGCAAAGGGCTCATGAACTAATGCAACAATACATCACTCGATGGGAAGCCTCAGTGTGGGGTAGGCGACCCCACTCCTTGAAATACAAGAAGTGCACATGTGCAATAAAATATGAGACCCAAGATTGCAATAGATTTGCATACCTCTACTTACTTTCAGTGAGTTAGTCTCGAGTGCTGTGAACCTTGAGAATCTCATGGAGAGTTTTGGCATGGGCCCCAAGCCAGTAATCATGAGAAGAGAGCCCGATAAAGGCAAACCTAGGACTACACAAGCTAAAAATTCTATGACCATATCCATGGTGGTAAAAGGGAAAAGGAGCAGCTATCCCACTTTCAAGAAGCTATGACTTTCCACGGCCATCTGAGCATGAGTGAGGAGCTAAAGAGGGAGACAACATACATTCCAAGAACTCCTTGAGGGAGAATATTTTTTGATAAGGAGCAAGTCCAAGAGATATTGAAAAAGCTCCTGGCAGCTGGGACTATTATGTTCCCTCCACCAAAATATCCTGATCAGGTCGGCCAGACTGATAAGCCTAATTATTATATATACCACTAAATGTTTGGGCATGTAGTGATGGATTACTTTCCCTTGAAAGACATTATTTAAGATCTCATCACAAAGGGAAAACATAAACCAAATGAACCAGAGGAGCCAGCTTCCGAAACTGCCGCAGCTAATATAGTCTCTTTTGTGACCCAAGAAAGTGAGCCCTTGCAGATGGAGAAGAGTATTTCATATGAGGGGCCTTATGGTTTTCACAGAGCCATGGTGTCCGGCATGTATGATCAGCTCCTTACTATGAGACTCCTAACCCCTCAGAGGAGAATTGGGCTTCAAGGAGGAAACCTTCCTCAAAGGGTACTCTGCACTACCGATATCATGATTCCCGTACACACTGGCTAGAAGATTGTTGGCCTGTAAAGGACTTCATAAAAGAGAAAATAGACTGTGGGACTATATCCGTACGTCATGCCCTTCCCGAACGACATGTTCATGAAGTCCCCATTTTAGAGAAGGTTGAAGGATGCTCTCACCCGGAGCTCTTTGAGTTGTTCTTAGAGTATTTGGAGACCCTCACTCTTCAGCTGGCACGGAGGAAGCTACCGATAGCAGTTGGACTACCTATGTTAGTCAGAAGGAGAAGAAACGAATGTAGGTTGAAGCCTTAAGGAGAGCTGGTTTATAAGCATTGGAGACAATGCTTTCTCAAGAACATATATCAAAAGCACATGAAGAAAGGACTGCTCCATCCTCTTTGAAAGACACAAATAAGATAAAAAGGAAACGAGAAAGACAAACACATGAATTCGCTCATGTTATAGGGTATTTTTCTTCAATTCCCTGGAGTGAATTAGGAAGAAGCTACTCGCGACCTAGGACCATATGTACCAAAATACCTGCGAGCTACCGAAGCACCAATAGAATAAACCCCTGATCTGGAGTAGAATTTTGAATGATATTGGCTTGGCCCCATAATGCATGATAAAATGGTTTTTGATGCTCTAAGAATGTCTGCCAAGTTTCATCGCGATCCGATGAAGTTAAGGTGGATCAAACGCAAAATCAGTTTTCAAATTCTGCCTTTAACATGTTGAAAGGACACCTTATAACTACAACCCTATCACTGAGGCTTTAATGAACACCAGACCACTTCCATTGAATTTAGAAGGTACAAAAACCCCTAAATACCAAATTTCGGCTCATTTGGAAGGTTCAGAACTATTATGCGGCCAACTTACCCAAAGAGGGTAGGTTTCACGCTATTCTGGTGCACCCTCGGTGAACCAATTTCCACTTATGGAAACTATGTCTTATGATTTGGGGATCGCCTTCAACTGGTCATATCTTCTCCATCTTAAGTCGAAACAAGCCCAAATTTCTGGAGGACCTTTGTCTCGTTGAAGCGCACGTTTTGATATATGGCACAACCCATGAAGTGGCTCGAGATGGAAAAAATCCTAGATAGAGTTTGCCCAAAAAAATCATGTGTTGTAGAGTTTTGGAAGAAGGAGATTCCTTTGATCAAATAGTCACATCATGAAGCCTCGATGTCGGATTAGCTTGAAAGTGGGTGTCACAACCCCACTCCTTGACCCTGAAACTGTACAAGCTGATGACGATAGGGTGTGGGACCGCGACATGAGGTGGAGCACACTACTCAGGTGGGAGTGGCTCAACACATATAACAGCCGAAATCATGAGCAAACCACAAAAGAAAACTAAAAATTGCACATAAAGCCAAGTATTACATTCGAAAGTACAGCCAAACCATTCATATTGATATCCAAACGTTTTTACAATTCTCTTCAAGGCACTATTGGCCCAAAATACACAAAGTAAAGTTTACATCCCAGAGGTAAGCCCGCCGAAAACATACCATGAAAGTCTTCGAAAGACGACTCTTCTGCTCCTCAGACTTCGAGCTTCAGCCACCCGAGCACCCTACAACACTCGCTTTCAACACATGGACTAATACTTTCACTCTAAAGTCATGAAAATAAGATGGGATGAGCTAACAGCCCAGTAAGTAGATCTACACCATTGCATCTCAATTATAATAACAGTGATAACAGAAAGTAGTGCATCCTTATTCACAGAGTATCAAGGGGAAACCCTCTAGAATTCCCTTCAGTATTCTAGCCATATAAGAGGCAAAAGCAGTTCAATATACAACATATAAGTTATGAATCATTACACCTTAGGCTGAATAGTAAGGTTAGCCAATCACAATTATGAAAACTAGAGAGGCCTGCTACTGAAGTAGAGGTCCCATTGCTCAGGGTAAGCCAATCCTGTAGCTTGAAACCTCTACCCTCATTTAGAAGGGAGGACAATGACAAGTGGGTGCCCCACTTCGTAATGCCCTCACACACACACACGTCCCTAGCGCCCTTTGGGGTATTTGATAAGCAGAGGCCTTGCAAGACACGACCCTCTCATGTGCCCTTCCGGCGAGAGAGAGTTACACTACCATTGGGTGACCCAATGCATAGTGCCAGAAATAATTAGGGGGTGCGACCCACCCAATCTCTCAGTTACCTCTCGATCCCAGTTCTATCATTGGGGTCGAGGTACAATCAATAGTTGTCGGCATTCAGTATCCAACTACCAATTATGACCCATTGCGTAGTGGTCAGTCACAGTATAACAGATTACAATCATATATCATGGTTTGCCAGTTGCATAATGCTTTCCTCAGTAATGGTCCACTACCAATGGATGCCCCAATGCGCAGCGGTTAGTATATCAAAGTATGCCAGTACCACAGTGTGCCATAGAATAATGGTCCCCACTACCAATAGGTGTCCTATTGCATAGTGGTCAGTCACATACTGACTCACAGTAACAGTAGCAGTATCACAATAACAGTGGCAGTATCACAGTAACAGTGACAGTATCACAGTAACAATGGCAGTATCACAGTAATAGTGGCAGTAGCACAGTAACAGTTGCAGTATCATAGGAATAGTGGCAGAATCATAATAACAGTGGCAGTATCACAGTAACAGTAGCATTATCACAATAACAGTGGTAGTATCATAGTAACAGTGGCAGTATCATACTAATAGTGGCAATATCACAGTAACAATGGTAGTATCACAGTAACAATGGCAGTATCACAGTAACAGTGGCAGTATCACAGTAAAGTATTACAGCTCAATTTCCTGCAACTATAGGCAATGTCATGTACCCATAATTAGGATCATAAAATTTGGTCCATTTGGAATTTACAGATGGTTCCAACATGAATTTTATACTAGACACACCCACCTTTGAAATGGGGGTGTTTGAAGACAATTGGGTCTCATTGGCCCTCTTAAAAGTTCAAGAGGTTGAGGGTTTTTTTGCGGTACCCTGCTGTGTACATGAAACAACGAGATACCCTGCTTTGTATCATTATAACTCTTAAATCGTGAAGAGTTTGAGACAATTTTAAAAATAAAAGTTCAAGCCAAAACATATCTATTTCTAATAAAGCCAATTTGAAATCATTTGGACTCCATTTGGTTGTCCAAAAGTCCGTGTCAAATGAAGTGATAGTTTTGGTCTTTATCAAAATTGTCCACAGTGACATCTTTTCATAAAAAGATACATAACTTCCGATCTAGGAGGCAAAATACCTTCTTCATGCAATTTTTATCCCACTCAAAGATCTTTGAAATGGAGGTGGTATGATAGGAAATGGACTTCGTTTGATTAGTTAAAACTAATAGAAACAGCAGTGATAATGAAAAATCCAGGAAAATAGTCGACAGTGACATGCTCATACACTTTGGAATATAACTTCATTTTTTAGTAACGAATTTCAGCAAAGGGAAAACACGAACATTTTATTAGACTCATATATATTTCTAATGGCAGCAATTTGGGGTCATTCGGACCTCATTTGACTGTTTAAAAGCCTCGTTTAAAAACATACATGCTCCTGGAATTTCACAGTAGTATAACATGCTTCATAAACATGATCCATAACCTCGATCACCCTTTATAAACTCGAGGTCCCTTCTCTTGTTGTCGGCATAACTCTTCTGCCGACTTTGAGCTGTTCGAAGCCTTTCTCGGATAAGAGCGATCTTTCTGAGGTCATTTGAGCAATCTATGGCCCTAACAGTCTTCTCTCACCGACTTCATCCCAACATATGGGTGATCTGCATTTTCTCCCATAGAGTGCCTCAAAAGGTGCCATCTGGATATTGGCCTGGAAATTGTTGTTAGAAACAAACTCTATTAGAGACGGATGATCATCCAAGTTTTCTCTGAAATCTGTAACACTGGCCCTCAACATATCTTCTAAGGTTTGAATGATTCTTTCTGACTGTCCATCAGTTTGAGGATGGAGAGCTGTACTGAAAGCGAGTTTGGCCCCTATGGTTGATTGCAAACTATTCCAAAACCTTGAAGTAAATCTAGAGTCCCTGTTGGATACAATACTAACAATCACCCCATGCAGTCTTACGATCTCCTTGATGTATAACTCGGCTAGCTTGTTCAGGGCATAGGTAGTGCGGACCGGCAAGAAATGAGCAGCTTTAGTGAGTCAGTCCATAATAATCCAAATACTATCATGCCTCGTATTTGATTTAGGTAAGCCTGATACAAAATCAATAGTTATGTGTTCTCATTTCTATTCTGGCAAAGGCACGGGTTGCAACTGTCCAGCAGCCTTCTGATGCTCAGTCTTTACTTTTTAACATGCCAGACACCTAGAGACGAACTGCGCTACATCTTTCTTCATATTATTCCATCAGAATACTCTTTTTAAATCTTCGTACATTTTTGTGCTCCCTGGATGTACCGTATAATGAGAGTGATGTGCCTGTTCCAAAATGGCCCTTTTTACTTTCTCATTGTTAGGGATACAAACCCGACATTTAAATCTTAATATTTCATCACTGCCCAAAGAAAAATCCTCCTTACCTTCCGACTTTATTTCCTTGAAAATCTTTATGAACTGAGGATCTTCTTTTTGTGCTACTCTGGTTTGCTGAAAGAGATGGGGTTCTACTCTTATACAGGAGATTATTCCTTTCGTATCCTCAAGGGGCAGAACTGGGTGTCATTCTACTGCATGTTCTAATAGTTTCATCCCTTGGGCCATCATGTGAGCCATTGACACCACATGCTTCCTACTTAAGGGTGGTAGTTGATGGTACAATCATAATCATTGAGCAAGTCCACCCACCACCCACCTTCTTTGTCTCATGTTTAGCTCTTTTTGAGAAAACAAGTATCATGTGTGGGATAGTTTTGTTCATACGACTTTAATTGCTTGGAGGTGTAGGCTACAACCTTTCCTTGTTGCATCAGCACACACCCAAGCTCTAGTTCACTCAACATAGAAAGGCTTCCAATGTTTTCCAGGAGTGTTCCACTCAATTGGTTACCAGTGACAACAAGTACATGCAACTTAGAAAGGTTTCCAAGGATTTCCAAGAGTGTCCCATTCAATTGGTTATAGGAGAGGTTCAACTCTCTTAGGTTCTCCAGGTTTGTTAGGCAATATGGGACCCAATGTTGCAAATGATTCCAACTGAGTTCAAGGTGTTCAAGGCTACCAATATGAGCCACCCAAGGAAGAACTCTTGTAAGTAAACGAAGTGAAGAAGAGTTTGGTAAATGAGGAGTTGGGATGGAGTCTAAGAGATTGCAGTATCGTGCTTCTACTTCCGTGAGAAGAGGAAACCCAAGGATCAATCTAGAAAAATCTAGGCTTACCATCGAAAGGTTTACTCGATTCAGTTTAAGGAGATGTAATGAAGAGAGATTAGCAAGCCATTCAAGATTGTCCACATTAAGAAATCCATAAGCATCAGAAAGATCAAGATGTTGGAGTTTTGTGAGATTCTCCAGTTGAGGAGGAATCTTGCCCCAAAAACCCGCATAAGACAGATCTAGAGTTTTGAGTTCAGTCAAAGAACCCAATAACTCTGGTATAGGATTAAAAGAAAAGTAATTAACGCTTAAGTTGAGAGGAAAGACAAATGTTTGAGCTCTACCAATGCTGGGTCTGTATGCCCACTCAACCATGCAATCGTACCATTGGGGTAATAAGCACCATGGAGGTCGAGTTTGATGACATGTGTATTGTTCCCGCAGTCAACTCTTTTCCATTCGCAGCAGTCTCTACCTTTCCATGATGACAATAGATTCTTTGGGTCCTGAAAGCCATCTCTTAGCTGGAGAAGAGCTCACCTTTCAGATTCTATGCAATACTCCCCACTGCACATCTGCATGTGCATGAGCAGAGAGAGAAAAATAGCAATGCCAGAACCATTTATTGGTCTTTCCATCTGCACAATCAGGCTGAAAGAGAGAGAGGGGTATGATATTTTGCTAAGCATGTAAGATAGCAGCATACAGGCTGAGAGAGAGAGAGGGGTATGATATTTTGCTAAGCATGTAAGATAGCCGCGTGCTTTTGTAAGCATGGCTGATTTTAGAGTGAGAGAGAGGCCATGTATATCTTTTTGACTCTGGATTGCCGTGTTCGACGGTTGAGAGAACGAAATTACAGAGCTTGGATTGTAGCTATCTCACAAATTTTCCACCACATATATCTCGACTGGTATTCGGTTGCATGAACAGGCCGAGGAAACCGGACATGGAGTTATTGCAATCGGTCAAGGTAACTGGCTCAAAAATGCACGTGCAGCTTTTAAGAAAAGTTCTATGATGCAAGTAAATATTTAGTCAAGTTTCATTATTTACAAGTAATTTTGTCTACTGGGTTTGTAATTAGAAAGGCACAAATTACGGTTCAGTTGAGGGAAAAGAGTAATGTGGATTGTAGAATGTTAAAAGAGCAATGTGGATTGTAGAATGTTAAAAGAGCAATGCAAATGTAGATAGAGAGAGAACGTTAGCAGACATGTTAGAGAGTTTAAAAATGCATGTACAGTCACAAAATCTCTATCACCACTAAAATGTAATCTTTGTGGGTACCATAATGAGTTGAAAAATTGAGCACCAGCCACGTTTCTTGAGTTTGGCATTACAACACAAGTGTGCCAAAAAATTGAAAAATTTTGTGGGTACAGTAATGAGTTGGAAAATTGAGCACTTGTCACCTTTCTTGAGTTTGGCATTACAACACAAGTAGGCCAAAGAGTTGGAAAATTTTGTGGGTGCAGTAATTAGTTGGAAAATAGAGCATCTGTCATCTTTCTTGAGTTTGACATTACATCACATGGACAATAGAGTTAGAAAATTAAGTGCATACGTCCCTTTCTATACTTGACTTGGAATTGTCTTTTAGATTAAATTCGTCAAATGAACGTATTCCATATGCATATGAGAGAGACACAGAGAGAGAGAACGTCAAGTGAAACAGGCCATGGGCCATGGGCCAGGTCTACATAACCCAGAAATCGTATGGGTAACTGGCCTGAATCGGACAAGTACAAGCTAGGCAAAGAATCTATTAAAATTTTCTTAAAAAATTAAAAAACAGTAAATACATGTTTAAAGTAAGAATAAAGAAAACTAATCTAAATGAGGTTAAAAAATATTTTTTAAAAAAGAAAAACTTTGAAAAATTAATTTGTGATGGGGATATTTTTTAAATAATAATAAAGATATGGAAAAATGTAATAATTAATATTCATGGCATAAATACTTTCCAAACGTTACCAAAAGGATATAACGCGTACAAAAATATGTTAGAAATGGATATCTTATTTTTCTTAATTTTTTATAAGTTTTTGAATTATTTTTAAGATCCTCGAATTGAACACCCAACTTGGGGATACTCGTGGTCACCACCGTAGAGAGCCCCCGTTACTCAAGTGAGTCCACGCAGACTTGCCGATTAGTCGAACGCTGGTCTTGATTTTTCCCCACTATGGTTCATATATTTGAAATTTTTTGATGATCAATTTGGAATTCCTTTCATATTTGGCCTTGATAGAATAACGAGTCTATGATTAGTGAATAGATTCCATGGGAGCATGAGAAACTCATTTCTCGGTAGGAAAGAGGTGGTGCCTCACAGAACTGAAAATCCAATCCAATCCTACACCTCAAGATTCTCTTTTCTCTTGTCCCGACCAATTTCCCTGATAGCTCCCAAGCCCAGTTGGGAAAGTAACGGACCCGATTGTTTTTTATGGAATGAATGCCCATGCTTGATATCTTTGTTTGACCAACGAGTGAGGCAATTGGGCTCGACAAAGTAACTTGGCTCGCCACCTTGGTGAGCCTGAGTATCTCGAGTTTGGTGGTCAAGCTTGACATTTTAAAAAATTCAGAAAAACTAAAAAAATAAAAAAGAATTATTTTTAATTTTTTTGATGTTTTCTATCCTTTCGGTAAAAATTGAGAATTGTTTTGGCCATGAACATTAATTTCTATATTTTTTTTAGATTATTTTTACAATACCCTTCATTATAAATTGGCTTTTTCAGAATCTATTTTCCCCTATTTTTTAACCTAATTTAGAGGTGTTTTATTTAATTTCAATTTTTTAATTTTTTTTAACATTTTTTGACCTGGACAAGACCTACCCAACTCTTGCTCGAGTTACTTAGCATGGCCCATGGCCGAGTCGTGCTTTCCTACACTGCTTGAAATTGAACTTGTGGGTGTTCAAGTACGTGCACAATTGGTCACAATAACAACAAATTATTGTGGGTCAGGAGAAGCTAAAGGACCAGACCTTTGTGGTTGTGGGGTTAGGAGGGAGAGGATGAGTTACTGGGTTCCTTTCTCTTGTGGATCACATTTTTTTCATTTCGTTTTTGTGTCTTGCTTTATGGGTCTATTATTATGCAGCATCCTCACAAGTCAAAAAGTTTCTCGTATGGGACTTTACTCAAAACTCCAAACCCTACTCACAAGTTAGGAAATTTCCATATTACCACGAGTCACAACAAACAGCGAAAGGACTATTTCAAACCTAAGAGAGAGAGAGAGACGGCATGCCGTGCCATATTGGTTGGGACCCCTTCCCCACCGGAAAAGGTGGAGTGTGTTCTGCACTTGATTTTTAATTTCTTTTAAGAGAAATCACAAGGTTTTTAAAAATATAATATCTATATTAATCATAAGCAAAATATTGTTTATGAGTAGTACAATGTATTATGTTTGTAGGTGTAATATATTGTACTGCCCTCAATTTGTGTCGGATCAATTCTAAGTGGCTCTGAATATACTTAAGAAACGGTAATAGGGAATATTTTCAATTTTAACAACATGTGAGAACAACTAATAGGACTGATATTGAATAAGAACAGATGAAACTTAGGAATCAAAAATTTTATAATTTGATTGATAAGTTGTTTTTTTTTTTTGAAGCTGATAAGGTAATATTGTTCGTATAAATTGATTGAGATTCAAAGTTAAAATTTTCTAATTTGAGTGATAAGTTGTTTTTTTTTTTAAGCTGATAAGGTAATATTGTTTGTATAAATTGATTGAGATTCAAAGTTAACATTTAATTAGTAGAAACACGTGTTCCATATGTGATTTGAACCCTTTTAGGAGAATTCCGAAGTTTTAAGTTATTGCGTCTCACGCATATACCTTTAATTTCCATTTCACAAACTTAAGTAAATGTTGCTTAAAGCATCGCAATGTGTTGTTATGTTTTTGGCGACACTGTGTTGTGACGCCCACTCAACTTGTGTGAAGAGTTTAGGTGCAACTTTTAAAAGTTTAGATTTTTTAAATCATTTATATATAATACTAATAACAATAACAACATAGGCTTAAAAAAAATTAAAGTATTTTTTTATCTTAATCTTAAGGCAAACTCACGCTTAGAGCATCGTCAAGCAGTTGCACATTCATATTATGCACATGCTCTGTAAAGCATGAGGCTTACTTAAAGAGGATTTTTTTCATTTGAAACTCGGTTACACAGATCTTTCAAAAATGGATTGTATACAATAAGACCATTTACCTTTTATACAGGGTGGTCAGAATTCATTATAACGATTTGATGTGAAATTTGATAGGTTGGATGCGTTACGAAGTTCGAGAAAAATTCTTTTGAAGTTTGAGCTTAATTGCAGCCACCTAACTTTACATCCAATTGTCAAAAGTATTGTGACCACCTTGTATAAAAGGTAAATGTTGCGTTCTGTATTTTTCCTTTGAAAAAACAAATTGTTATTTTAAAAATAGGACGGTAGCAACATGTTACTTTATGAACTTCATGATGTTATTTTTTATAAGAAGAAGTGCTTATAAATTTTTTCATGATCATTAATACCATTTTATTCATAATAATCATAAAGTAAAATGGTATGTAAATTAAAAAAAAAACAAAAACAAAAAGCAAAAAAAAACTTCATAGGTCACTGTGACAATCCTAATTTGTTTTTCCCTTATTAAATCAAAAGGTCCAAAACTAATGTACGCTTCATTTTTTCACTATAAAAATTTGAGTTAGAAAGATCCATCTTATTGCAATGAGTTGCATTTTAAACTTTATTTTGATCATAAAATGAATATAATGGATAATAAACAATAAAAACATAAGACATGTTCACAATATTTATATATTTTGAGTAAAATAATGAAAACTATAATGCAATACTTGTTAGGTTTATGTGGCCTTTAAAGGCTTTAAGAGAGATTGTATAAAACATTTTGAATAAATGAATCATAAACTCAGTGGGAGTATGGTCTTCTTGTGGACCATACTAGGCAAAAGCTTTTTACTGATACTCGGACTAGGCTCGACATTCTAGGCCAGCCGAGTTGAAGAAAACCAAGGCACCTGGGCATAGAGTTAAAACCGAGAAGAGTTTAATGGGTTGGCCCTTGATGAGGTTAAAGTAAGCCCGAGTAAGAGCTAAGGGACTGTATGACCCTTGTGTGTCATGAATAGTATATAGAGACAAAGCTAAGACCTCATCGTTGTATCATCACACGACATGTACATAGCCATATTGAGATAGAGATCTAACATTGAAGTTGAATCATGTAGATGCGCGAGAGAGTACCCCTATGCACCATACAGTTGTGGTTGTATCATGGTCTAACGGATCATAGTTTGTCTTTAGGGGGAGAACCTGAAATCCACAGATTGAGATTATATCCTCTAGCCCATTGATTGACTTTGGCGTTGCAATCATGAGCCCATGCAGTGGACCATGGGAACTGGTAGGTCTATTTGAGAAAGTTAGTATGGATCATGGTCCACAGTTGAAGGTAGAGTGCTCCTAT